GTGTGTGTGTGTGTATAATATGTATATATAAATCAAATATAGCTTAGTATATCGGTCCAATTTATAAGCTCGTATAACATCCGAAACTCATATCTTGGTTAAAACTTAACACATTTGTTCTATTAAACTAAAATAACTGTGCAAAACTTATCTAAAATGAAACGATCTTGCGACTATCGGAATGCAATATAATAGACTTGCATTATATATATTCGCATATTACCTTATTATTTCTAATTTATTGATACCATAAAAAATATATATTTCTGATGTCAGACTCTCACAATCTTGCCCATAAAAATTAATTGTACATAAAATTTATTAATTCTATGTACACATTATGAAACAACATTGTTCATCTTGATAACTCTCTCCATGCGAGAGATAGCGACTAATTAGAATTTTTCTTTGGCCCGAGTTCTTAAATTATAAGATCCCTGCGGCAAATTTTGTAGTGCTCAACAATTAATGGAAAGTGCGCAACTTTCACAAAAGTAGGACAATTCTACTTTTTCGAAAGAGAGAATTTTACTGTTTTATAAACTTACATTTTATGTAAAATAAAAATTTTTTTATATGTGATAAGTCTACACGAATAACGCAATCATAAAATAAAGCGACTTTCTTTGACATTATTTATTAGAAAAAAATAAGAATTATTTGTTAAATAAAGATTATCATTTAAGAAGTTAAAAAAATTATAAAAAATGTTGTGAGTTAAAAACGGGATCATCATTTATAATATATTATTTAAACATTCAATTGTCTTTTTAACAAGCTTTAAACACGACAATTAAAAAAAGACTTTATTAGGTCAAATAAAATCCATTTTATAAAAATATCTATATAAAATTTCTATAAAATATACGATAACTCAACGTTTCATTGATGACTATAATACATCCTATTACAGCTATCTTGGCAAGAGAAAGCGGACTAAAGTTTAACGATTGTTTATGAGAATTTGAAGATTTCTTGCTACGACGCACGCTACATATAGAATTCCAATCATGTTTTCGACACAACGATCATGTTTCTCCGTAAAACTCGCTAAAGTATTGTGCTCCTATTACGAACATGCATTCCTTGCGGTTTATGACACGGTCGACGGATATGTAACCAGCGAATCCAAAGAGAAAAAAATCATTGCGTCTTTCTGTTAAACAAGCCAGTATTGTATCGACATATGGCTGATATAACTAATACGAGAACGGAAAAATGTCGATCCAATAATACCGAAAGCGATACCGCAAATATATACGCATCGCGCACGCGGATGACTTCCATTGGAATGATGTCGTCACTGATACGTAATCTCATTCATCTTGTCATCGACTCTCTAAATTCTCGTCGATATTTATCATCGAATTATCGCATCGTAGATAGATGAATCATTGATATATTTCGTCCCAATTGTATTTTATTGCTATAATGTATAGACTATACTCGAATTACCACGATAAATTGCAATTTTTTTCATCTGATAGGTGATGCGTAACTATTTCTGATTCAAAATGCTTTGAATAAAATAATTCGGACAGCCATAAAAAAAACAGTGTGCAAATTATATACATATATACGGATAAATATAATATATTATAGACTCTGTTGATGATTTGTCTCTGACTTAATTAAACACATAACCAATTTTTGTTAAGCGATACGATCGTTAAATCGGTACGATCGTCGCTTGCGATAAATGGCAAAAACAGTAGTTAAAAACAATTCGGCTTAATGTAAGTCGAATGAAACGCGAGTAATATGTTAATGGACAGCATAAAGCAAACGCTGAATGTATTATTTTAAAATTAAAATGAATTTATAATAAATTACCTTTAAATTAAACTTTCGATATTGTGATATTTTTGTATTCCTCCTCTCCTCATATGTATTTACACACACATGTACACACTATAATTGTATTATTTCATATTCCTGCGAAAAGAATATCCTTTCTATTGCATCTTAATTATATGTACGTATCATTTTGATAGAATTGACAATATTATTTAGTTGTATTCATCAAAAAAGCGTATTATTTCCTATTATCAATAAATAAAAAGCGTTTGAATATCTTCTGATAAAGCTTTAGAAAATATCAAAGAAATGATATAAATACATGAATGTTGGAAATAATTAAAGTTGTCTTCATTAAAATACGACATGTTTAAAAGTCTTTTAGCTGAAACAATGTTTCTACATTCATATGCTTGTGTATTGAGTTTATTTTTATTAAAAGATGGAATTTTACAAATATTTTCGTAATTTTGTTTAACAAATGTCTTGACAAATATCTAAGGTAATGAGGAAGAAGTATCATGATTCTGCGAAAACAAGGTCGGCGAAAAATATTCATTTACGAAGAGAAATAATACTATTATCGTCTTCTAAAGAAGCGACCGTATAAAACGATACCAACCGGAAAAGCACGAGACGCCGATATATTCGTCTAAATGATAAGAATAGTACGCTACAGAAATTGGAAATCAATATTTAAGCCCATTCTTGAGGTGTCGTGACCAAGTTGAATTTGCGTGCAGTACTGAATAGATAAGAAGAGTACTAGAATAATGTTAGAAGTTGTGCATCCTTATCGAAAAGGAACATGTCATGGATTACTTATCGTTATTTTTTATAAATAAGCTAGCGGCTTAATCGGCTGCTTAAGCGTGTGATTAGATTTAACTCAATACGTAATCGTAGAAAACTCATAAAAATCTGTTCATGCCTTTTTCCCAATATATATATTGAATTCATCGTTTTAATTTCTAAAAATGTTGCATTTTGTTCTGCAATTTCCAATAGAAAATAATGTTAAAGAGAAAAGAGTATATATAGAAAAATAGAATTATCGTTAATCATATGAGCTGCATGTAATACAATGAACAGTACACACGCAACGCTCGAAAATAAATATTAAAAAATGATAAAATGAAATACAGGCATAGAGAGAGAGCGACGGAGAAAAAGAGAGAGAGAGAGAGAGAGAGAGAGAGAGTATTACATATACATTGATAATAAAGGTTTTAACAGCAAACAATTACTTCAATTTATTGTGTAAAACAGCGTAATCGTATCAGACAAAACAATTTAAAGTTTTAGTAAAATATCAAGGCAAGAGCTTCGAATGATGAATTAGTTGATTAATTAATTTGCGTTTTTAATATTCCATATATTGAGCATATTGCATTGCTATTGGCATTTGCGCGAGAAATACTAACACACAATAAAATTTAATTCGAAACTTTCATATACATCTCATAGAGATATATTTGAGTTTTAAGACAAATATCTGCTCCACAAAAGAATATTTTTGACACGCGAATGTATCAAAGAAATTCATAAGCATCCCCTTATATAAGCGAATAACGAACTACATATTATAGTAAAACAGCTGGCAGTAATGATATATCTCAACCATCTTATTTTACGGTAGAATAAATGTTGGTAAAACTGAAACTCTCGGCACTAGTCTTTAAATTCTGTTTTTGCATTCGGACCGTAGCAAATTTATCTTCACGCTTGGTAACTTACGAAAACTCTCCATGAAAAGACGTGACCCGTGATATACTTGACATGGACTTTGTTTCGATTTATTCATCCCGCTTTATTTCTCTTTATACACGATCTTTCCTTCAAAACTATTTTCGACCACGGTTATCCAGTAACTACCCGAATTTCATCATGATTTAAAGATAATATCTATAGTTAAATTCCAAACATTTTTCACTAATCACGCATTTTCTGATTCTTTCTTCACGAAACTGTACATTCCATTAAACAGATTTGTAAAGACAAATTAATCCATCCATTAAATTATCCATCACATTAAAAATCACACTAAAAACATAATTGAATATTCAGAAATTGTGCGACAAATTTTTTACGAAAATAAATTTTAAATTTATTAAAAGATCTGTGGTAAAATTTAACATCATAAAATTCTGTTTCAAAAGATAAATTGTGCATATGTATTTAAACAAATATTATTATTGCATATTGTAATTTGTAATTTTTGATAAAAGAAAAAAAATTATTGTTATGTAAAATGATAATGAGATATTTATATGTTCATTGCAAAGAATGTACATTCACTTAAAAATTTCTTCCACTATAATGTTTAAAGCTTATTTTCACAGATAGCCAAATTGAATTAAATCTAAACTAATAAAGTTGTAACAAACTTCCCATTACGCGAAAAGGTTCATACAGTGAACGCTATAAATTAAAGTTTCACTACTTGGTGACTATTGTTTGCGGATCAGTGATTTCAGCGAATCCCGCATCCCACATGCATACATCCTATCGGTATTGGATCAAAGCGATTTCTCACAAAGGATTATACATGTATACTCAATAGCTGACAAGCGGAACTTTCATTGTTGTACCTAAGTATTATATTATATATTCTTTCCGTGCATCCGAGAACACTCTTAACGTAATAGATTCGTACAATTGTACAATGCAACATCTCATGTTATGTGCACTGTTTTTATATCAATTATTTTAATA